AGGTGGTATCCAACGGAATAGCAGAACAGCCAAACGACTGGTTGATTTACTGTGTGGAAGCGAGTTACCGGAACCGTCGAATTCCCGTAGACCGGATATGTCCGGTTTGGATACGACTGAGATCCAGGCCAAACTTCTACTTGCTCATACCCATTATCAAGCCTATTTAAATTTACTCCGCTTAGCAGGATACTCGGACGGATTGAACAAGTCGATTACCGGGGAAGAACAAAGGCGCAAATCATCACTATCTCTAGAGCATATGGTCTCTTTATCCGTGGGATGGTATTCGTCAAACCGAATGAATCGATTAACAGATCGCCTTCTTGTGGTGGACGTACTTTTGCAGGTTGGTATTTTACTGAAGTTTTACTGTGTTATCGCGACCCTTTGATTAGCCGCTCCTCCCTTCCGGAAAATTGTATCATTGTATATTCAATAAAATAAGGTGAAAAGCAAAAATATCAAAGTAGTTTTCATCTCACCATTATATAATCACTAAAAGGCTAAACGTAATGCGATTCGAAAAGTGATTTATTGCTAGTCATCGATTGAAGTGGAGGAAGTATCGTTTATTTTATCATGACAGTTTCACTGAGATTTCGCGGTTTCTGTCGGAAGCCCGGTTGGCTGTCAACCGCACTGTGTCTAGTAGAACCACCTGATATGGTGCGTATAAACGGTATTGAATATCCAGGTGTGTTTAGAGCTTTTACAAATTTCCGGATCGGTGTTCTACTCGTTTTCACCAGTCTTTTATTCAAAGTTTCAGTTGCTTCCATAGGGTTTGTTTAACATTACCTCGTATCTCGTTCCAACTCGGAAACCGATAGGCAGTATGGTCGGACAGCTGGTTCTATCCTGGTGGGCGAGTCTCGGGTGAGGTGTTGTAACACATGCATGCGGTCGGTTTGGTGTTTTCCAACCTGGATCATCCGTAACGTGCACCTGCCCACGCTGAGACATTTATTGCATCCACCTCAATAGACAATGCTTTCTTAGACAAGTGGCTTGTTATCGGGCGTGTTTCCGAACCGCGGATAAAGAAGTGATCGTTAAGGTGGTTATCTGTGAATAGATCAAATCACTTCACTGAATTAACGATCGGAGGAATATCGACAACGATTTTGTTGGTCGTGATCGGTTTCGCCCCACAAGTTCTATCCTTACAATATAGACGCTTTTTATTTTAGTGCGCATTACTAAGCCTTTTGCTACATGGGGAACAACATGGTGGCGAATCAGTTTCGCTAGGGTTGTTTGGTTTTCATTCTTATGTATTTTACTACTAATAAGTAGCTTGTTGATAGTTATAGCCGATAAAAGACAAGTTCGATTACTCTGTCACTGTACATTCAGTTATACGCAGTGCATCACACACTGTGAGTCGAGGAGAACGGACTTAACAAGCCAAATTTTTATTGTAGGTGTAAGCAGGGTCGTTTGCACATTCATCCACTCTTCGGTTATCACTGAATTAACTTCAAAACACTGCCGATGGTTTCTCTATTTTTCTTCATTTGTTGGTCCGGGATCCAACCAATGGGACAGCGGATTGGTAGGAATAATGATTGTAAATTCTCCATGAGAGAGCTTGAATGCTTCACTATTTACGCTTCAACTACTATGAATATATAAATAGTCTGGTTATGAAAGAAAATATTCAATGACTGCTCTGTTATCGAACGCCAAGTAACAGTTATTTACTCAGACTGCTCAGTATGGTGCAGTTTTTCTATGGTTATAGCTTTATGTTTCTGTTTTACTTTTACTGCATCATAATATCACACGTCATTCTGTACCGCCACGTTTGAAATTGACTGTGTAAGTTGACTTAGTCGTTCGATTTTATCGCTTATGTACTGGTTACCAATTTCTGTATAACTACGGTTAATGTAGAAATAAGGCATTTCAGCCCTCATCGTTTGTTTTTTTACGTATGCTAAGGCCGTAAGTAAGATTATTTTTGGCGTTTTCCAGTTTACCTCTATCACAACTAACAGTTGTGCGAATTGAAAATCTTGAAATTTGTACAGTGTAAGCTCTTACAGAGACTTGCTTCTGATCGCGGCAGGTCGGACACAGCTTTCTGTACTCCCGATAACCAATGACTCATCAAGTAGTTTCCATTTTTGTTCATCAGTTTTGGTTTCTGAGGTTCAGCTTTTTCCGATCAGTCCTGATTAAACGTTTCTAAAGATAAACTTCAGTCGGAGCCTGATGAGTTAGTACACTTTAGAGGTGCATCCGAATGACCAAACTAACTCTCTGGATATTTAGAATGAACCGTAAAACTTTGTAGGATTTTGACCTATCTGGAGATTTCAGCGTTTAAGGAATCCGCATTGCTGAACTCACTTTGACTCGTGAAACTGGGGCTTGACGATAAAGCAACGAAAGAGGGAGAAGTAGAATACTCCATAACCACTGAAAAATGAATGAATGGTGGTGCGGTATTTAGGCTCATCCACATGGTACAATTGGATCACATTCTGTACTGGTTTGGGAGTACCAGGCAGAGTTAATCTCAGAGAAGGATAATGCACGATAATGATGATAAAAGAAAATCGGGAGAATAAATGCTTCGAAATGGCCTGGTAACTGTACGGCATATGGGAAAATAGCCTTCCTTCAATTCTGATCAGTAAAAGATGAGTAAAACAAGGATAATCTAGCGTACTTTTGGCTGATGCACTCTAGGGCGGGATGTATTTGAACTAATTANACTAATTACAAAACGGGGTGATGGAGACGAGAAAATACTCAGCTGGTTCTAAATAAACGCAACAGCAGTCAACGCATATAGCCCGGAGGGTTCGGGAAAAGAATTCTCGAGGGAGGATCTGAGGAAGGAGAATGAAAACAAATTGATGCGGGTAGGGACGGATGTTTTGAGGACTTAGAGGCGGCAGAGGCTTTCGAGGCATCTATAAGAACGAATGGATTGAAATTCGTTTGTTGTGCTCAATGTTTTCTGTTTTGAAGTGGGTCAGAGAATTCTTATTGTTATAATCCCATTTTCGCTGGGTCTGAATTCTGAAACAGGTTCCTCAATTTTGATGAAAGTCCCAGCAGCATTCACTTTTTTCTCAGTCGTTCAATTATCCTAGAGTCAGGATTTGTGTAGCGCGGTTCCGAACCCGCACCAATGTAGGAGTACACATTCACGAAATCTCACCAATTTTACGGTCTGTAACATCTCACACTACACAACAGCAACTTCGTGGTGTCAATAGACGGTTGTTTAAATCTTTAACTTTACCATGGTGACTTACGTATGGGGTTTTGACGTACTGCACATATTAGAAGACGCATCTTTCATCATTTTTCTCTGGCACAGGTTGAGTTTAACATCTCAATATTGCGTAATCCACGATCTCGGTGAACTGATCATCATCACCTTGATGGATACTGGTTCACTGTGACTTGCTGCCAAAGTTGAACTTTGTTTGGTCATCATAGACATGTTACCATGTCACAAAAATCCTCCCATTCATAGTGTTCTTCATTCATGTATTCCTTCAGAAAGCTCAACACCCGCCGCCCGATTTTCTTCCGGAAGCTGCCCAGGCAGACAACTCTTTGTCGATTGCTCCCACCACAGATCAAGCCTGCTTGCTATTGCGCTCCTCCGAGAACAACCCGTTGTGCATGTTCGGTCGCGCTCCGCTCGATATCGCGCTACACATCTGCCCAGTTTACGATTTGGACACGGAGGACACAGTGGCACATGTGGATGGTCCTACACAATGGAGTCTCGTGGAGCCCTGGTTTACCGAATCCCCGCCGGAACCATACCTTCCTAGGTATGTATATGTGTGTGTGTATGTGTGCGCGAGCCTACAACATATTCTCTGGCAACAAACTTATCTCCGATAGAAAGCACTGTTTTCCTGTCACAAATTTGATTAGAGCAATCAGAAACATGAGTTTACACAGTGTATCCATGATCATTTCACTGCATCGGTGCACGTGCAAACTGCAGTCAAAGTGATTTTTTATAGTCAGTGAGATAATCATCTGGTCTAATCGGTGCATACAAAAGCGTTCTTCCGTTTTTTTACTGGTCTGCTTTTTTGGATGTATGAGGTCCGCTCTACCGTCCACATGTGATGTTAGATAGCCCCGCTGTTGTCTAGCCCAATACAAAGCCCATCTATCCTGTCCTAATCTTATGTGGTTTGTCACTCCACGTTTCAAGGATTAGATCTTTGGTTGCGAAAATTGTTCCCGGAGATTTCAAAGACAACAATAACACTAAGAATATGCCCCATGATAAGAAACACATACAGAGTTATTTTTTTCTTCGGTTTCTGTTCCATGCACGTTGGTTTCGTGGATGATCCATTAAGGCATATTTCACAATCATTTTATTTAAAACTTCTGCTCCCCATAAATTTCGATTTCATCTTTCGACTACAGTTTCTAAAATCCCACATTTCCGTATCCAACTTCAGCAAACCTTCAACAAACAACCGAACATCTGGTATATCGTTGAGGCGTTTGACGATCCCCGTCACTCAGCTGATTGAACTGTATACACGTGTGAGTGACAATCGTGTTCCTACCGGTAATTTGATCGGACTACGAGTTTGTGCAAACCTGATCGTACGAGCCCCGAGTATACCCTCACCGATCATCAACCTGTTTGACTGTTCTCTACGACCCTATCGCATGGTCGCCCCTTGCCTCCCGATCACTCTGGGCTCAGTCCTGTTGGATTCCGTTCATTGGCTCTGTCCAATCCAGATCAACTGCCCGGCCCCATTCTCACCCTTTGGAAACGCGCCGAGGTGGACTCGGGTGCCTAAACCGACTATATCGTTTCGCTTGGAATCGTGCCAGCAATTGCACCATGTACTCCAGGGTAAGTGAAATTTGAGTAGGGGTTTCTTCGTGTTTTTTTGTGAGCACTGGCATCAACCACAACCACTGATTTTTATCGCTTGGTGATCCATTTCCTAATTCCACCAATACCAAGCTATGCAGAGTATACGACTTAGTGAGAATAGAAGAGCATAGAGGATAAACACAGTGAAGTGCTTGCACACTTCTGTTTGCGAGACTCATTTGCGTGTTTGGTTTCCAATAATAATACCTCTTCTTTCAACATACCACTGTAGAAACAACAACCCGGAAGGGTATGGGCTGCACCTCCGTGTAGACACATAATGGGAAAGCCGGGCGGTGGTGGTAGTAGGATAAGAACTCCTGACCACAGTCTGATCAGTAGTGGCGGCTGAGCGGTTCACGCCACCGGTTCATTCCGATCCCTAACATTCGGTGTTCGAACCCCATCTTCACTGCCACCATCCAACTTTTTTTGTAGATAGCTTTGTTTTTCTTCGGTTTAATATCACAATTGTCCTATAACAGCTTTGTGTGTTTCGCTTGTCCAAGTCCCATGACTCGGGTCGCTTGGTTCCTCATTAGCCGAGCAATGGATCGTCGTAACTTTGGGATTTCATCCGTTTTACTCTTCATCGAAGTGAAATGCGTAATTCAAGGTATTCCTGGTATACATTTACAGCATCGATCATTTTGCTTTCCTTTCAACCAACCGCTTATCTCACTATCGTACTTTAATCTGTTTATTCACATCTTTCATCATATATTTTCTTCAGATCTTTTCAACTCGTTCACAGACCGTGAAGGACACCACAGCGGGTCAATACCCACCACAGCTGTATTGAATGTGCCCGAAAGACGCGGATCAGTTCGCCTTTCGTTTATGCTGACCGGTCAACCTATTCTGATCGAATGGTGGCATCATGAACCAGGAGATTTGGACGAGAACGCAGTCGAAGGCACCGGATCGGCCCATATTCGCATGACCGCATCATGTGTTCGGACGTTATGGTGTGTCGGGAAATCAGTGGAGCGTATTGTGCGTACTCGGGCTGTTTCATCATCCGTCTCGAGTGTGAGTGTCAGCTACTAAAAACAGATCATCATTGCCAAGCAGGTTATCCTGGTATGGATCTTCTAAAATCCGATCAATAGTTTTTTTGTGACGGGAGCAACTTAAATCACTTTGAAAGTGCAATGGTTTTTTCATGTGATGATACTGGTGTTGATGATAATGGTAATGAGATTTGGTACTCGTTAGCTCTTGTGGCCATAATACTATTACTTCTGAAAGAAAACGGTATTCGTCGATCACGAAACCCTCTACTTTGCTCAGGCAGCGGAAGAAGTAAACCTATTTGATGCCCCAGCACCCGGTACGCTTCGGGCGCAACGCATCCGGTAGGAGTAACCACCAAATAACATGGTGCTCCTTCGAACAATGAGGTCTGTACCAAGGGAGAAACGGACATCAGGAGTGGTGATTAGCGTTTGGGTGGAAAGTGACGTTTTCCCGAGAACTGGTACTCTAAGAACGACGAATGGAATGATAAGATGAGACTTCCTTCCTAAAAAGTGCCGAATAAAGGGGTATAGGCTCTGGGGTGCATAGGTGTTCTGATGTACATCTCACTACTAGAGGCATGTCGTTATGCTGTTATTCTTTCTCTGTCCCAGCGGCCCTAGATCGTTCGCATCACTCCATCGGTTAAACAGGGGTTTTCCGTATATTACTCACGATCGGTGTTAGTTGTACCGATTATGCCGAGGTTTGCTAGTGGTGGGATAGTCCGAAGGACCCCAATCTGGGTTTTTCATAGTAAAACTTGTACCACGAAACTTTTCACTTTTTAGAACTAAACACATGAACGATCCCGATCTTCTTATTGGCTCACTCACCGTCCAGGTAAGTTGCAAGCATTTCTGGATAATTTGAATGCCAGTGTCACCATATTCGGTATGCGTTTTGAACCTTCAAAGTGTAAAATGTTACTACAAGACTGGGTTGGTCCAGCACCCAGCCTCACTCT